CAATTCTGTTTTCTAGTTTCATTAACCAACTAGGTAAATGTTCCTTAGCTTTGATGGCCAATTGCCTCTGCTTTCGCCCTATGTACTTGCATCTGCAAGTGCCTGTCAATTCATAAATACAGTTTGAAGTGGCGTGCAATGGCATGGCATCCTTCGCATGAGGAATTGGTAAAGGCTTCGTCAGATTGCAAATTATCAGATCGGCAGCATAGTACGTCCTTTCAATGGCATTGAGAAGGCGCCCTTGATGGTGTTAAGTATGTTGTCGCCCTTAAATGGTAAGGAAATGAAAACGGGCTTTTTGGTGCTAATTACTGAGTTAATTTAGGTCTTCGATAGAGTTTTCTCCCTATTATTTTTGCTGATCTAGAGTTTGAACTTCTCATGTTATTGATTAGCCACTTGGCCACTTATTATGACCTGTGTTTATATCGATTTTTCTGTATGAATTCATTGTGTATTTTCTCTGATCTGATTCACGTTAAGCAGTGAAAGGCAGCAACTGAAGAGCTCTTTCGAAATGATATGGATCCAATAAGTCATTTTGCTGTTATTGTTGCGATTACTTATCCCCGCCAAACCATGTAAAAAGCTGTTCAGTCCGTGCAAGTTCCACTGATTTTCGCTTCCCATACCCGATCCATGACCAGTGAGCTCTTCATACCGATGTCGCAATACGGGCGGTAAGAAAATCTGAATTATAAAATATTTATAAGCCTCACCCAATCCTTCCAGTTTCAGTATCATTGCAACTGTACAGGTTCGATGGTGCATTGCCGAAAACGCACGTTTGAAAAATAGACTTTTTCAGTAAGAAAGTGAGTGTAATTATAAGTGCAATAATGGCCATTCTATTTTTCGTATAGTAAGCCAATATTCCTTTCGTCAAATTTACACAAGAAACGTTATTTAATCAGAAAAGAACTTTATCCTTAACCATGCATGCATATGCAATCGGTCAAAAACCGGCACTAACGCATGCACGACAGCTTTAAAACAATAGATGAATTTGTAACTCAAATTTTCTGTTTAAAAACATGAAATTTCTAAAACTATCCTTATCTCCACAGACGTGAAAAACTGCTCAACAGTAAACCAACGATGTAAGTATAATCGTCAATTAAAATCACAACTAAGAGCATGCGCTTTGTTCATTAGTTGTTTCGGACCTTATGCTGATGCCAGTAGCAGAGAGAGTTGAAGAAAGGGGTAACGATCCAAAAACAGTGATGGAGTTAGGTCAATCAACGACGAGGATGTGGAAGAGTAAGCAATCATCGTACCAATTGCGATTGCCCAATATTGTGTGCGCCAACGTCCATGTTACCAAAAGCATGGTTTACGGCAAGGGTTACAATGAAGCCTTATGTTAGCTTTTTGGGTCTAGGCTAGAAGTAGCGTTACAGTCTTTTTCAGTTAGATGTAGCGTTCGGAGTATATTCTTATCCTGGAAGTGCAGTGCGGTCGGGATAACATGTTATATGCCGCAAATTGCGAAAGACTGATAATCACTTACAAACCAGCACTAACAGATGTAGAAAATATTGGCAAATTAAACCAAATTAATTCAGCGAACTCATAAAAATTCCAGAAATATATAATGTTTAATTATTTTTAAGGATAAATAAATTATTCCAATGCAAACTCGGGGACCCCAGACGCGATGAATAACTACACATAATATTTTTAAATATTAATATAATATAAAGTTGGAGTCATAACCATATCATCTTCGTTATATCAAAATGGTTTTTCCTAATGAGAATTTCCTTATATAGACTGTGGATATTGAAGAACAGTTAGTTTCAGCTCATCCTTTAAAATCCGCGAGATTTTCGAAGATTTTCAATGTTTAAGCTTTCCTTCATGAACGTAGATCATATTGGGCGCTTACATCAAAACTTTTGAAATAAGATCTTCTTAAAAGCTTTCACTAACTACGTAAAGTTATGAATGATATTTCTTACGAAGATAATCATGTGGGCTATATTTTTTGGCCATGCAAAACAGCAATACTCATTTTTGAGCAAAAAACAACAGGAGTTTCATATTGCCACGCCTGAGAGCCACTAAGCAACGTTCTTTTAAAGATAACTTATTTTAAAAGCACTTTAATCAGATATTTGCATGTAAAATTTTCGAAGTCCACGTGAAAATGAAAATGCATATTCCAGACCAGTATTTTGTATGCTTGTAGCAAGTTTCATCATAGCTGAATAATTTTAACTTACTTTACTTTTGATTACTGCAAAAAATAGCCAAATGTGTATCTCGGTTTTGCAAAATTGTTAACGTTCTGTCTATTTCGTTTGCAGCTTACGCATAAGCGGAATGTATGGCGCAAAGAACGTTCCTTGGTTAAGGCTGATCCCTTAGAAAACGTATTTTTGTAAATGAAAGCTTTAAATATTTGGAAAAAAGCAATAATTATGAAATCTGCATTTGTTCACAGTTTCTGAAAAACTATACAATTCCATAAGTTTCTCTTTGTCTGGTTCTTATCAACGCAATGATAGAGGTTCCGATTCTGGAAGAGTTTGTTCGCTTTTATTAATAGTATTGAAATTCTTTTATGTGATAAAGAATAAAATTGAAAAAAACTTGCTTATTTTCTACTAACTGGCAAGGAAGATGGGCTTGGTATGAGGAAATCTCGGCTCCTCCAAAAACCCGCCTGTTATCCTTAAATAAATTATACTGTGCAGATAATTTTCCTTACATTCTCTGGACCACATCAAATAACTACCTTAGAGTAACGAGGTAAAGTGTGAGCTAAACTACGTAGCCTAATTTCAATAGTGCCTTGACATGCGTTTACCCACCTGCTGCATAATGTATGACACAACTCCTGCAAGACCGTGATTAAACAGCAAATGAATAGTACTGCGCAAAGTTTGTGTTTCTTTAATTTTATAAGTTGATTAGATATAAGGCCCAGGTAAAAAACTGATTCTCTACTTTTATGTGTGGAAGAAAAGCAGGCAAGATTTAAGTGGAATCGGGCGTTTCCGAATGTCAAATTTTTTTATTATATAATAATATTATAAATGATAGAAAACCATCCCCTTTCTGAATGTTGTGCTATAAAGTGAACATCAGTTAGATAGGTTATACAAAAATGCCATTTTTAGTTCCAAAATCCGATCCTTTATCAACGAATATCGGTATTTAAAAATTGTAAGTAAACTTAAATTTTCTTATCTCTATAACTTAAAAAAGGATTTTTTGACTTCGGGAATTTTTTTCGTAAAACGCTTCAATTGGAATGGCACCGTTGTGATCGCATTGGCTAATAAGAGACAGGGAAGAGAATTTCTCGAAGCTTGGCACTCTAGCCAGGCCAGTATAAACACACGCCCAGACCTGGGTTCACGCGATGCCGGTTTCCGCACATGGTCCAATAATGTGCACCCAGCCCAAACGACAGCAGGCCGTCCGTCCTCGTTCAAGTAGAACTTCACTGGTTCTGTAACCACCCTCCTACCCCCCCACACCCCGGGAACATGTGGCCTCAATCCAAAAGTTAATACCTACCCCTTCTTACGGTACCTTGTGATTCTTTTTCCATTCAACTGTTAGGCTACGGTCATGCACTTTTGAAAAAAAAGTGACGTCATCGCTAACAACTTTATATTTATATATATCTTCGGATAAAAACAGTTTTAATATAGGGAGGATTGTTTGGTATGACAATTTGTGGGGGCTTTTTGTTAAATATATATATAGCAAAAATAAAGGCTGTTCTTCATTTGTGCATGCATCATTCAGGCAGGGGGGAGACGCAACAGAACTCTCTTTCAACTTGGTTTCACCTCGAAGTTTTTCGAATTTTCCCCAGCGCCGGGAAGATGAATGCCAACAAAGAGTTCATAGGCGAGAACGGCGGTGAGAGAGGAGAGGAAGGGCGTTGAGACGAGGATGAAAAATGAGTAGTGGCTATAGGTAAAGGCGCCGCGGCCCCAACCTTAAAAAGACAAAGAACTCACAGGTTATTCTGGTGCAATTTTGACCAAACAGACAGGTTGTCTTGAAGGAGTCATGCCGTTTCTGACCACATCTGCTATCTGTTAAATATATATATATATTTATATATAAATTAGAAAAATATGTATTGTATAACCTTATGCATAGTGAGAAATGAGCCCGTGATAAATGAAAAATAACTCAGAATAAACAAGCATTAATTTAATCTCATAAACAGTGTTTTTAAACAATGCATTTACCCCCCCCTTCCAAATTCGTATTACAGAATTCTTTGGTTTTTGTTCCCGCAGTGTCACTTTGACTACACTTTTAGCCCACTTTAAAATGGGTACAAAGTTTAGAGGGATGGAGTTGGATTTCGTTAGCTATGCTTGGTTTCACTGCCTTTATCATTTGAGGAATTCGATGGCCACACAGGCATTTTTTCCTAGGACCCAGCTATCAGGGAATCTAGGTGACAAACGGCGACTGCAATAGATGTATTCATTCAGGAATGTCCGAACACTGATCCAATTGGCTTCTGAACTCAACCAAGTTCCCTTGGTGGCTAGACGTCCCGAAATGAGTGGCCACTTGCTAGGTCGATGCCGACCACGTCATAATAGCAGAGAGGGATGACAACGTCTGGGCGTAACTTGAAACAGAACTGTTTCGGGTTTATTGTCCTTCATTCAGCCAAGCATACTCCTCACCACCAGCTGGTTCGAACTAAACCAAGATGCGCACTTAAAATGGCACAGATGGGCCATAAGCAATTAATAGAAACGCAGTAAACCGATGCCTCGCCACCTGCCATTTGCTGTTGCGGCAGACCAGGTATATATTCACTCAAGAATGTCCGAACACCGATCCAATTGGCTTCAGGACCAAACAAATTTCATATGGTGCCTAGAGGTCCCGAAACAGGAACGGCGGCTCGATGAAGTGCTTATGACCTATCTGGTAGACAGCAGTGGTGAACCAGCTGCGCCGTCTGTGAATGCGTATGTTTGTTTTGTCCGACCCACCTGGTGTTCAGGGTTATGCTTAGAGGAATGAAGGCAAATAAGCCCGAAACAATTTTGCATCAAGTTACATCCAGACGCTGTCATCACGCTCTGCTATTTTAACGTGGCCGGCACTGACTTGGCAAGTGGTCACCCATCTCGGGACCTCTAGCCTCCACCGGAAATCGGTTCGGTTCGCAAGCCAATTTGATCGG